GAAGTTAAAGCTTGTTCATCTAATGCTGTCAATCACTCCTAAAATTTAGAGTCAAAAGTCTAATTACACAGATGAGTTTGATGAAACGTTTGCTTATATCTGCAGCCTAATGCTTTCAATTTACATTTTCAACAATGAGCTTACATATTTAGAGGTTTGTAAAATCACACAGATGGTTAAAATTGCTGCCAGACCTTCAGCTCTGTGGTGACTAGACAGGCAGAAGAATGAGACTAATTAAATGGAGATCTGTCTTGGAAAGGACATTAAGTGGGGGGGGTTTGGGGTGTTAGTTAGTTAGTTTGAGTATCCCTCTTTTCTTCACTTTCAAATGGCTTGTAAAAGTGTCGCAATTCGGCGTCAAACAGTTGTTCGTTTGAGTTTTCCCTCTTTTCCTCAGATTTCTTGACTTTCAAATAGCTTGAAAAAGCGCCGTGCGCGTTTTACTTTCACTTTCAAATGAGGGGCTATTCAGCGTTGATTCAATTCAAGCAACAACAATGTCAAGCTCAGAATTTTTTTTAACAAAACGATTAAAAATACACCATATAGGCCTATGCCTAATAAAATAACATCTTTCTCACCTCACTCTTGTCAGTCAGCTCGACTCACTCTCTTCACGTGATAAATAAAATCTGACTCCTGCTCCGCGGTGCACTGTCGTTCGCGCACGGTTCGGCACGCTGCATTGAGTGTTTAGTTTTTAAAAGTATCTGTCCTCTAACTGAACTAGGCTAAATTATTTTTGTTACTATAAAAAAAATCTAAATGACGGTGGGGGGCGGTGCCGCGGTAGGCAAATGACGGAACCGCTGTTGCTGCTTAACACCGGTATAACCGAAAACATCGTCTATCGCAGCAAGCCTACCCTGGAGCACAAAACCAGTCTTAAGTCGCACGGGTATATTTGTAGCAATAGCCAACAATGCATTGTATGGGTCAAAATTATCTTTTTTTTTAATTATTATTTATTTTATGCCAAAAATCATTAGGATATTAAGTAAAGATCATGTTCTATGAAGATATTTTGTAAATATATGCATTGCTAAGGACTTCATTTGGACAACTTTAAAGGCGATTTTCTCAATATTTAGATTTTTTGCACCCTCATATTACAGATTTTCAAATAGGCTAGTTGTACAGAATCTCGACCAAATATTGTCCTATCCTAACAAACCGTACATCAATAGAAAGCTTATTTGTTCAGCTTTCAGTTGATGTATAAATCTCAATTTCAAAAAATGTACCCTTATGACTGGTTTTGTGGTCCAGGGTCATATATAATTTTTATTTATAATTTATAACATGTACATTTTGGTGGTAATTGTGGGGGTCATATAAAAATGGTATTTGTCTTTTGTTTTGATGTTTTTCAGTAATGGCTTCTTTCATAAAGGTTTCATGTGTTTCTATGCACTGTTATTCTTCTGTGTTAATAACAGTTGATGCTGCTGCTCTGGAAATCATTTATGGCTACAGAACTGATTTATTGTCTTTGAGAGGTCGTTAAAAACAGGTTCATGCTGACTTGACATTGAAAACCGTGTTAAGTGTCCCTGTGTCCTCTGAGCAGCGCTCTCTAAAATAATCTGATTAATGACTTATTCATGATGGACGTTTCTCATTTCTTTAACAGGTGGCGTGTGATTTAGAGGAGAAAAGCGCACGACTGTCCTATATGATGTGCATCGATCAGAGACGCTGTGTGGTGAGTAGTTTTGAAATTGAGCAAGACATTTGTCCTGTATCAGTGCTTTAGTGATTTAATGTTGAAGATTATTATGATTAGAAATCAAACAGAGACAGCAGATGTATTTTCTGCAGATGTTGTCCACACAGTTTAAGTTGTATTAAACCCGGAACATTCCTTGAATATGTTGTGGATGTGGTTTGTGCTCTCGAGGCCTTTATGAAGATGATGGATGTGGTTCTTTGAGGATGGTGTTGTGGCTGAGATCTCACGCTTGGATCCCCGCTGTGTGACGGTCTCAGAGGAGCCTGTTCTTTTGCCTCTTACATCCAGACAACTTAATTGGCGCATGTCAGGATTTATAGATGGAGATTAAAGGGAAAACCCAAGTTGCATTGCATGGAAAAGCGTGAGATCTGCAATGTCAGCAGCGAATCGGATTCGGAAAATTAGTTTGTCACTACAACATTATGAATTCTAATACAATATTAATGCATGTTTATCACGGTGTGAGTAATTTTGTATTGTTAGTGGAGTCTCAATATAGTTATTTTTTGTTAGAAATCGAATGAATAAGTAGTTAATGTATCAAATAACCACATAAGACCCTAATTTGCATAATCCAGTGGCTGATTTACTTTGCAAGTGTTTATTCTAATTGGGAAAAGGCTCATTGGAAATATGTGCATGTGACGACATTTCTGCTAAATGATATTGCATTGCTTCTTGCATGTTTTGAGACCCAGATGTCAAATGAGCGGTGCTAAAAGCATGTTCAGTTTTATCTGAAACAGATGAACAGTATCTGCTGAAATAACAATGCAATTTCATTTTGCTTCAAGTCTTTGTGCTCTTTTTTTTGTGACTTTAAATGCTCAACATTGCAATTGCAATGCTGTACCAGGTGAGCTTACAAGCAAGTTTACTAGGCCTATGTCAGAACAGCCAAACATCTAGAGCTAGTTATGTGATGCAAACATCAAAATGTATTAGTCCACAAATCATGCACTATGAAAAAAGCATTTTGAGGTCATAACTAGTGGTCGCCAATGCCGATATATCGGCCGATATTTGGCATTTTTCAAATATCGGCATTGGCCGATGCGTTCGTGGCGGGACTTTTATTTTGACGGCGCTGAGAATGGCAGTGCCTGAGCACACAGTGTTCACATTCTCCCTCTTGTTCGCTGTTGTTCTGTCTAATATGGATAGATGTCTAATATGGTCTAGGATAGATGTCTAATACGGTCTACTAATCAAATAGAACGGTTAAACAAAGGAATTAAAATGTATACAAAAAGTATTATAACGATTGCTTTTATATTATTAGTAATAGAAAGGCAAACATTATAATACTTTCTTGTTTGCCGTCAGCATTCAGCAAATATGAATTTATATAATTTAAACAAATCTTTGAATGACTAATGAGCATTTAATTTCACAAACCTTGCAAACTTAGTCAGATCCAGCTGTGTGATCTTGTGAAGTGTGCATTTGTATCCTGCGTGATCGCATGTTCTCTGGGTGGCGGTCGATCCGTGTGAATTGAACGCGGACAGGAGGAGAGTTCAGCTTCACTGAGACGCGCGATCGACAAACTTTAAACTAGTGATTTCAAATTA